CTTCCAGACCACGCGAGCCAATCAGAATGTCTGTTCCCATTTTTCTTCTTTGCTATTTCAAAGGGAGACTTTGATGAGAACCCTCTGCTGAGAGTCGCTGCTCAGGACAAAGTGAAGGCCCAGGGTGTTAAAAGATGAAGGAAGCCACGTGGGCTGGTATGACACATGCCTAAGAGGGGAAAATACAGCTAACAGGGCAGGGGGAGGTAAAGAAAAAAAGAAAAAGGAGTCACTGTTCCCAAGACTCATCCACACACTGACAAGGTCACACACTGACCTTCATCCTCACAGGACAGAAGTCCAACCAGCCTCCTCTCCTCAGGCCAGTGCCCACCTGTGCACAGCCGGCCTGTCAGGCACCCACCTTGCTTGTCTGGTTCGGTCTGATCCCAGGCCCTCGCACCAGCAGCGGAACTTTGATATCAAACTCATATAGCTGCCTCTTGTCTATTGGCAAAGAAAACTGTCCTGAAAAAGAAACAGACAGTGAAGATGGAGCCAGGAGCGGTTCACACTTCTTTCACTCTTTTTTACCAATAACAAAAACTTGGACAACTTGTACTACTAGTTCTGGTGTTCTAATAGAAAACTTAAATTTGCCTGGGTCTCATTACCACAAGGCAGAGAAACAAATGAATTCATGTTCTCTAAATCGATGACCAGTAGGGACTCCCTGGCTGTGATGGGACGTGAGCCCAGTGACCAGCCGGCACAGACCCCCCACACCCTCACGCCGACACTCAACCTGATCACAACCCGGCGAGGTCGCTTCAGACACTGCCAAATACAGGAACAAAACCGCTTCCCTGCCCTTTCCTGAGTGAACCACCTTTAACATAATCAAACAACTGACAAGGAAGTTCTCTGAGGAATTCCAGCTAATAAACACGAAGGAAAGGGCAGGATCATGAACTCCACACTCAGCAATTTCTGAGGGGATCAAGGATTTAAGCAGCAATCATCAGTGGAAGGCCAGAAAGGCTGAGGCTGAAACCACTGAGGCTTCAGTCAACACCAGCACCCTAACAGGAGGGGAGCCGGACACCTCGGGCCCATGACACACGAGAGCCGGTGCCCGGCAGCTGCATGGAGGAAGCACTCCCACCTGAAGATGCAAACCTTCCAGCCCGGCTCCCCCATCTAACCACCAACCTCCTTCCCGCCCCTGTCTAACCACCAATCTACAGGAAACGGGAAGTGGAAACGAAGCTGTGCCTGCAGCATGAGACAGCGGTCAGCCAGAGTCCGGCTGAGATGTCCTCAAGGACAAAAGACTCCCTTTTACCAGTGAGTCAGAGGCAAATGACAGATCCTGGTGCCATAAACTAATGGTGCTGTGTGGGCTTATGTAGAGCTTGATACAGATTAAGTAGGTCAGAGACCCAATCAGGTGTCGTGTGAGATCCCACGTCTGGGAGCTGCTTTAAAACCTTCTAGCAAAAAAGGACAGGAGGGCAGGAAGAATCCAAAACACCGGCTTCACGTGCCTCAAGTTCAAGTTGGAAAGCAGGGTTATTTTAGCAGGCTCTAATTTGAGCGTTAGAGATATTCACACCACCACATTAAAGACTAACAATCTGCTCCTGTACAGGCAAGTCTCAGGTTAACCCACTCAGAGGAAATCTGTAGACAGAAGGAAGGAAGCATTTGTTTCTAATCACAGAAGGTCCAAGCAGACAGGAAGAAAGCCAGGGGGGCTGAGCTGATTCACACCGCAGCTCTGAAAAAAATACCCCAAAAAATAATCCTGCAACTTAGTAGGGAGCTTTTCCTCCCAGGCGACCTTCTCCCGGCCTTGCTGTCTGGAGCATCTTTCCTGGAGCCGCCTCCAACCCATCGCCCTCCCACTGTGCTCCAGCTCTGTGCACCCTCCTAAGTCAGCACATGTGACAGGAACAGGGACACCTGGTTTCCTGGGTGGCCATGATGGGGCCCTCGAATCAGAGGATGGAGGGCAAGACCCTCCTGCTACCATCCACCACGGAAAGAGGACCACAACTCCTGCTGGGGATGCTGGTCGGTGAGAGAGCAAAGGCGTGTTCTGGCAGACGGCGCTGAGCCCCTCACCTGTGTGGTAGCCGTTGTCTGAGGTGTAGATGATGTACGTGTTGTTGAGCTCCCCCGTGGACTCCAGCCTCCTGACCAGCTTCTCCACCAGGTCGTCGACTGAGAGCAGAGTCTGCCACCTGGATATGGGTGCAGGGTGGAAACAGGGTTTCAGGGGCAGTGGCTGAGGCATCACTATCTTGTCCAAATAGGCAAAAACAAAGACTCCCCCTCCTACCTCCCCCAAAACCTCAAAACCAATCTCCCCCAAAACTTAAATCCCAAATCTGTTGTCTTGTCCCCTCTGGTGCAAAAAGCAATCAGAAAATTTCAGAGAATAATTCATTCATTCCCAAGTTAACAAGGAAATAAACTAGGCTCTGTGTAACCAGTTACCTTTCGGCCTCATTGCCACTGGCAGTAAGAGCAGAGGCCATCACAGAGAGAGCTGTCAGTCCAGGGAGGACACTACAGACTGACTCAGAGAGGCCTTTGTGGCCAGAGAGGGTCACGGTCCACACGAGAGCTGGCAAATCACAACCCGTGGGCCAAAGCTTGTCGCTGTTCTTCAGGTTTTGCTGGGCGGCTTTTGTGCCAGACAGGGCTGAGCAGTGGGGACAGGCTGTGTGGGCTGCAGGCCCGTGATGTCTACTCTCCAGCCCTCTGTTGACCCCTCGTCTAAACCAAATACTTCCTATGACAAAGTAATAGATTTTTAAAAATTGACTTAAGAGAATTCTTGAAAATTCCCAGCAGCAAAGGCAAATTTTGCTCTAGTCTATGGCTTTGGATCTTTTGTCAAATATTTGGATTTATCTTTCACCAACTGACCTTTTCTGTAAACAAAGGGAAAAAAATTCTACCAAGTGGTTCAAGTCTGCAAGACTCTTTAACAAGTCCTAACAATAAACGGTTTTTTAGGGTCTAAAGGCTACTCAGGTGCCTTAGTGTAAAGAACCTGCCCCGAGGCTTGGCGCCTGTGGCTCAAGTGGCTAAGGCACCAGCCACATACACCTGAGCTGGCGGGTTCAAATCCAGCCTGGACCTGCCAAACAACAATGATGGCTGCAACCAAAAAATAGCCAGGCTCTGTGGCAGGCGCCTGTAGCCCCAGCTACTTGGGAAGCAGAGGCAGGAGACTCGCTTGAACCCAGGAGTTGGAGGTTGCTATGAGCTGTGATACCACAGCACTCTACCCAGGGAGACAGCTTGAGGCTCTGTCTCAAAAAAAAAAAAAAAAAAAAAAGAGCCTGCCCCGACGTAGCAGGTGCCTCCCAGAGCCTCCCTAGACCTGCCTCTCCACTGTCATTTCAGACACACTTGGTATGAGCTGCCTTGGGGGATGGGGGGCTCAAAATCAGGCCGAAAAAGCAATGGCAGCACTCACCTTTTCCTGAATGCGTCATCTAAGAACTGTATTGAAGAATTGGTCATCGGTGTCTTGGCTTGCCTAATTAACCAGTGCTTATTCTAAAATTTAGAAGAAAAAAGCTTAGCACCAAGTCACTGCAGTCAAATAAACCACTGGATTACTAAAACCGAAAGTGAGTAGGTCCATTTCATTCATACCTGAGCAAAAAGGAACTAACTGGAACCTCTTTATGCAACATCAGACCTTCCCTCCCTTCCCCCATGTTCCTAAAAAGGACAGGTCTGCAGATCAGCCCTGGCGCTCACTCTCGAGCTCCCACCACCCCAAAGCGTGAAACACTGTGGCTCCTTTGTTAGAGGTGTTAGGAGACTTCCGAGAGTATCGCTGGGAAGCTCCCGGCTAATCTGAGACTAAATTCACAACTCTGAGCTTATGTGCAAATGGATAAGTATCAACTTCACCTTCCCTCTAAGTTTGCTCCAAGTCATCGTTCTATCACCCTCCACTTTCCTACCCAAGATACTGATCATCTTAGATCAGCAGTTCTCAACTGTGGGTCGCCAGCCATAGGAACTGTACTAAAGGGTCAGGGCATTAGGCAGGTTGAGAACCACTGTCTTAGATCCTTGGGGAAAATCCTACCACAACACTTTCCTAAAACTTCACATTCAAATCTGGAGGGCCCTTCCATTGAGATATTATGAAAAAGTCAAATTTTTAAAAACAAAAACATTTCTACATGCTGTTAATTCCCTCTCCTTCATTCATGAAACCCTGAGCCACCATCTCCCAAACCAGGCTCCTCAGAGTGCTTCATTCTAAGCTTGAGAAACGCAGGCGGCCATCCTCCCACAGGAAGGTCACGCCAGACTGAGCAACTCTGAGGAGCCCACAGCAGAGCGACTCCTTTAACAAGTTTCCAAACTCACCCCATTGTGGGAATGGCTGTTTGGGAACAGCTGGAATGGCCCTCTGACTTAAAACCCACTGATCTTTAAACTCATATTGAACAAGCTCCTGCCTACATGTGCCAGGCAGTGCGCCCACCTCTCCATGTGCCTGAGCTCACACGGGAGTCAGGACCAGAACGTCCCCTGGTGGGGACTGTAGGTACACATGCGTGGTGGGCGGGGTCTGCCTTTCAGACTCACTCTCCCCACAACCTTACCAGCAGTTGTAACTTTGCTAACAGGCCTGAGGGAGGGGAGGCCTCCACCTTTGAACGAGGGACAGCTTATACTCTGCACCAAGGAAGTGTTAAGTAATTGGCACGTGAGGCAAACATTTGGGTGGTTAGGCCTTTAATCGTGTCCCTGCTCTGGTTCACTCTTCTACTCTGCCCAGCACCCTGCACCATGCCACCCCCTGCCCACACAGGCTGCTGCAGGCCCAGCCCTAGGCCATGTCCCAGCCTCTGCCAGTAGGAGAAGCACCACGGAGAGGTTGGGAGGACAGCCTGAGAAGTATTTGTGTCACTGGGAAAGATGGTCTTTCTCTACCCTTCCCCATCGGCTCTCCAGTGGCTCAGTGGGCATGTAGCAGGACCCCTTTCTGTCCTTGAGAAGATGACACTGTCTGCTGTCCTGGGGACAGGGGCAACTAGCTCTGGAAGACAGGGAAGGGAAACCCAGCAGGCTCAGAGGCGTCCTGCCAAGTACATCCCAGAATTAATTACAGTGTGGACAGTTGACTCGGGGTGGGAGAGCTACCGTTCCATGGATGTTGAAGTTCTTGTTTCTTGGCGCGAAGACGTTCTGGAAAGCCTTCTGGTACTGCGGGGCGGCGGTCCAGGGTGAGTGAGGCGCTGGAGTGGCAATCATCATGAAGAAGGGCTCGAAGTTGGACTTGTAGTCCAAGAAGTCCAAGGAGACGTTAGCCTGACACACACAAAGGTTTGTCACCTCCTCCTCTGCTGAGTTGAGTCTTAATAGAGAAACGTCCCTGGTGGGCAGGGAGTGCAGGAGCGTGGCAGCTTTTGATCATTCTGAGCGTGTGCTCACATGGCAGCCGTATGCACACGTGCTGCTGGAACACACGTTTGGTTTGGGGGTAACACAAAATTGAAAGCCATCCCATCAGAAGAGAACAACTCATGTTTTTACACCATCAACAAATGATGTTTCCCTCAAGGGAAAAAAAGCGATTTGGCCATTTTACTGGAGCTTGGGGTATATACACTTAGTGCCTTAAAAAATGAAAAAGAGAGCCAACCTAATTCTGAACAGTGGGCAATGTGAATTAAGTCACCTTAGCCTTATGAAAATATGTACAAAGCAGATGTCATAAATTATTCCAGCAGAAGTAGCTAAGTTCAATAAATATTATATCCAAATACATCCCTTTAGGGCTTTTAATTTATATGGACTTACATTTTTCTTCTTTTTTGAGATACAGTCTCACTATGTTGCCCTTGGTAGAGTGATGTGGTGTTACAGCTCACAGCAACCTCTAACTCTTGGGCTTAAGCAATTCTCTTGCCTCAGCCTCCCAAGCAGCTGGACCTACAGGTGCCCACCACAACGCCCGGCTTTTTTTTTGTCACAGTTGTCATTGTTGTTTAGCAGGCCTCGGCTGGGTTTGAACCTGCCTGCCTTGGTGTATATGGCCGGTGTCCTAACTACTGAGCTAGGGGAACCAAGCCTAGACTTACATTTTTTATTTGCTTATCAGAAGATATTTAAGAATACAGTGGTACAATCATAGGTCACTGTAACCTTGAACTCCTGGCCTCAAATGATCCTCCTACCTTGGCCTCCCCAAACCCTGGTGAGCCACTGCACCAGCCCAGGGGGTGCTTTAAGAAAACAACTGTGCCTTCCTAATGCTGTAGCTGATTTTGTCTTCACGTATCCCTGCCACTAGCTAAGACACACTGTTTCTCTCTCCTGTCCCTCTCCACCTAAGATATCTCCTTCCCAGCCCCTCAGCTTCCTTGTGGGTTTCTCAAAACTGCCTATGCCGGTCACGCCCGCCTCAGGGTCCCAGCCTGCAGCTGCCGTCTCTCCGGATCTGCATAGTTCACTCTCCTCCAGGCTTCTGCTTAAATGCCGCCAGCCAATTCTCTGATGACCGTCTACTGAGCCAACACGTGAATATGTACACATCCTTGCTACGCATAAAACCTGCCAGCGGCCATCACCTTCCATGGAATCAGGGACTTGGATCATTTACTGCTATATACCTGCCATACAGGTGCTGAGCGACCTGGTGAAGGACACTCTGTGGGAGGCCACCAGAGACACCTCAGGACAGCACAGTCCCTGATTCACCTGTTGTCAGGGGTTTTATACATAAAGGCACAATGCCAAAGACTCTCACCCCCTCCCCACTGTGATGGGGCTTATAAAGCTGTCTCCTTGTAATTTGTGAGCGAAACTAGGTCCCACCAAGTAAAACCTCTACAAAGTAATCTCTGCAGTCACAGAGATTAACCTTCAGAAAGGGATTTGCTGCTGGAATTTCAGGAACATAAGATCTGAACCTGGCTGATACACAAAGAAAAACCCACTCAGGAGTTTTTAATCAGCTGGAAATACCAAGTGGCAGTTGGACCAAGTTATGCATTTACATAACCCAACATGAACAAGTAAGACTATGGGTTTTCTAAGCAGTTTTCAATCACACGTGAGTCTTAGCTGGGTGTTGTAGCAAGTGTCTGTAGTCCCAGCTACTTGGGAGGCTGAGACAGGAGAATCTCTTGAGCCCCAGAGTTTTCGGCTGCTGTGAGCTATGACGCCACAGCACTCTACCCAGGGTGACAGAGTGAGACTCTGTCTCCAAAAAAAAAAAAAGAAAGAGAGAAAACCCGATGTGAGCCAAACCTGCCAGGACAGAGCCAGGGAGCTTCAGTGACTCACCAGCACGTCTGTGAGGTAGTCCACACTGTAGTTGGCCCCATGCTTCCGGGCCTTCCCATTGATGGAGAGAGTGTAATTATAGTATTTAGAATTCTTTTCCTATTAAAAAGAGAAAAGCAAAATTTGTTAAATTAGCACACAAAAAGAAAATCTGAATTCGTGCTGGGCTAAAATATACTTTGTTTAAATAGTGATAAGACAAAAAAAAGTAATTACTCAAGTCCATACTGAATTGGATTTTTTGACTAGGGTTTTATTAAAGACTAAAAGTTTCAATAATAGGCAGCACCTGTGGCTCAAAGGAATAGGGCGCCAGCCCCATATGCCAGAGGTGGCGGGTTCAAACCTAGCCCTGGCCAAAAACTGCAAAAAAAAAAAAAAAAGTTTCAATAATATATTCTAGTTTAACAAATTTGACCCGGTATAATAGCAAACTACATTCCTAAACTTTGTGCAATGCAGGAAAACGTCCTAGGAAGGGATGACTCAGAAGTGAGCAGACTTTCTTCTAAAGGAGATAAAACGGCACTGGAAACAAAAATGAAGTCGTGTCCACAGCAGAGACCTAGCAGGGCAGGGGTTGTGTGGCAATCACTCACCAAGGCAAACCAGTAACTCCAGCCCAGGGGGACGTGCTCCAGGCCACCCGCAGCGGGGGCTCCATACTGAAAAACAAGGCAAGTCTGGACATCAGGAGTCCTTACACACAACCAGACCAGAGGAAAGAGGAGACTCTTGGATTCTTTCTATACCAGGGCCTGAAACATACTAGGTGCTCAACTTCCCCAAACACATAAAGTTATCAAAAAGTAAACCTTATAATCCTAGGAATTTCTCAAGCAGGAGTTGGCAAACTAAAGCCAGTGAGTGAATCTGGCTTGACAAATATTCTGCATGGCCAGCAAGCTAAGAGTTTTTTTTTTTTTTTTTTAAGTATTTAAAGACATAAAAACCAACCAAAAGGAGATTATATTGTGACATGTGACAGTTAAAGGAAATTTAAATTTCGGCGATGATTTTGGAAGGTGGCCAAGCTCACGAATGTCTATACTGTCTGTGACTGCTCTTGGGCTGCGCTGGCAGAGTCACATCCCAGACACACAGCCTGGGAGCCTCACCCACACAAGCACTCACCACTAGGGTCTGGGCTGCCGACAGCATAGACCAAACAGTCCAACCGACCCTGTGACTGGTAACAGCCAGAACGTTCAGCTGATAAGCTACCAGCCTATCACAGGCTGAGCACACCAAACCGAAAATCTGAAATACTGTGAGGGCTGACGTGACACTCAAAGGACACACCCAACTGGGGCACGTGGATTCTCAAATGTGGAGCGCTCAGCCAGGGACTCCAAAATCCACAAGAACTGTCATCTGAAACACTCAGGTCCCAAGCACTCTGGATAAGGGGCTCTCAGTTGTACTTCAGCTGTCCTGCCAATGGAATCTACCGCGGGAGCGCGATAGATCTGCTGTCTTGAGTGAGCAGAGATGCCACAGGCTGGTCCCACCTTATCCCAACAAGGTTCAAGGCTGCCCATTTAAGGTAGAGTTTAATTCCTGGAAGCAAAATCTCTGAACCTCCATGTCTCCCTAATTTATACACACGTTAGATCACGCCCAGAACACAAAGTAGGGTAAGTTCTCTTTGCAGCCCACGGCCCGACCCAGTAGCCTACATCCAGACTTCCTATTCCTCGTGACTCTTTTCATACTGATTCATCTTCCTTTAAACCCACAAGGCTGCAGGTTCCTCTAATTACTGGGGATAAGGAACAAATTAACAGAACTGTCAGATCAGATGTTAGCTCAGTGGGTATGGTGTCGGCCACATATCGGGACTGGTGGGTTCAAACCCAGCCAGGGCCTGCTAAAACAACAATGACAACTACGACAAAAAAATAGCCCATTGTTTGTGGTGGGCACCTATAGTCCCAGCTACTTGGGAGGCTGAGGCAAGATAATCACTTATGCCCAGGATTTTGAGGTTGCTGTGAGCTGTGACGCCACAGCACTCTACT